GGGGGGGGGGGGGGGGGGGGGGAGGAGTTGGCATACGTATAAGGAAATGAAGGTCATCATTTGTGCTATAAAAAATTAGGTTAATTAATGAGCAATACCGGTGTTTTCATTTCAATCATTGTTATTCCCCAACTGTTTACGAGTAGCTGCAATTTTGGTTTATCTTTTTTTTAATAATTATTTATCTTAATTTCACTTGATCTGACAAAAATGTAGTCTCACTATGTGCCCCATACATAATTACAACAACAATGCTTTCAGTGACCTTTTGTTGTTTCCCTGTATAGACCTTGTCTAAATCGAAATAATGGCCTTTGGTTTTGTTTGTCTTGCCTCGTAGCCATTTACAAACTATATTAATTTTCAAATCTAGTGTATTTAAATGCAATTAGACTATCTAGTTTGCAATTTGGACAAAGGTTGCATACTTTTTGCACGTGATATTTACTATTGGGTGGGTAGGTGGGTAAGTGGTGGTGGTGGGGGGGGGGGGGGGGGGGNGGGGGGGGAGGGGGCTGGTGGATGCAGGTTGATGGTATTTTCTTGAAGTTCACAAATCTGCTTTTTGAGATTCTTTAAGAGCTTCGCCAAAGTGGGTGAAGTTCGTAATAAGTAGTTAATTTCGAGAGCGATTGTTCGCTTCCATTGGACATTTATTCCATAAAATCTCACCAAGTTAAATTTCTTCGGCTAACAGGTGAAGGCGTATATTCAAATCGACATCATTTCTCCATTTGATTACTGAGCAGCTCTGTCAAGTCACTCGCATGTTTTGTAGTTAAAACAATTTTGATCTGCTAAGTCTCTCTCTCCCTCTCCTGCGCTGTTAATCACAGAATGTCGACCATGTGTGCGTGTGTACTCTGCTGTGCTTTGAAAGCTGTCAGAAGAGTTGCATATACCGAGATATTATAGCTTACTCCTACTTTTTTCAATGCCTCACAAAATACATAATTTGAAATCTGAACAAACTGTGCCTCCCATACAAGCAAAGGAGCTAGTGAATCTCCCGAATTTGGATTAAACCAGGTTGTCACTCTAGTTTTCTAACGAGGGCATTAATACTTGTAATTGAGTGAAATTGAATTAAACTCTTCTCTCTACAGTGTCTAAATCTGCCCAATGACAAAAGATTTTGTTTCGTTGACTCATCGTTCGATAAGACTACATCTCGACACGTTTAAATCACTCAGCTTAATTATCCCTCAGAGGGTTATGTCTTTCCACTGTCGAAATGGTTTGAGAAGTTATTGTATTTCAATTGGTACTTATCTGTATATAAGTAGTATTAATTTCCATCTGCGATTATTTTAGCACGAGCAACTTGAAGGTTATCAGAAGCGCATTCTCGACTTGACACGAGATCTGACTGAGCTGAAACGCCGTCGAATGTCAGCGCCTTCCCAGCCAAATTTAACGTATCTGTCTCGAGATTCTACAGCTCCATCTCCTGCTCCATCTATTAGGAGTGAGTCCTTGGTGTCAGTTGCATCAAACGAGAATGAGATCTGCCAACAGTTACAACAACCCCCCTCCAGCACCCTGCCCTACATCCCCGATTCTGTTCTCAAATCTCTTCATCCCTCTTCAGCAGCAACACTGCCTTCATCTGCCACCCAAAATCCCGAACGCTCCTTTTCTTCGGCCTTCTCTACCGCTAGTTTGGGTCGACGACGGAAGAAGAGTTTTAATGCTCTTCGGGGTGGAAGTGGAAGTGATCTAGCTGCTCAGAGAGCAGAATTGGACGAGCGGGTAGCTTTTCTGGAACATGAGCTCACTCGATATAAGACGTATTCGAGTCTACTTGAAGCTGAGCTTACACGGCTCCAAAGATTGCCTCCACAAACACCTGCGTCTCCTCAAGCACCCTACGGTACACCCGGACCAGTTCGTGGTTTCTGGCAGGTGTGTGGACCTTCTGCTGACCTTCAAGAGGAACCCTCAGAAGGATGCATTGGAGGTGGGGCTTCCCCAATTGTTTCAAGTCTTCCACCTCCACCCTCTTCCAAACGCGGGTATTCACCATCGGGAATGCGTCAGACGCGGTCTCAACGGATGCAATATCGTCAGTATCAAATGCAGCAACGAAGGCAACAACAGCAACAGTTCTATCCTCCTACTCCGATCTTGGGTGCTTCAGGGCTTTCCTCTTCGAATCCGCCTGTTCCGAATGTTCAAAAAACGCAAACTGAAGAGGAAACCTTACCTTCATACCCATTAATTGAGGAGAATAAAAAGCCCGAGACTATACCCACTGCTTTCTATGAGGTTATCTGAACCCATCATCCAACTTCCTAGTGCTTTGCTGTGCAATAACCCTATTCGACCTTTTCCACCTCTGTCTCATTCTCTCTCAATCGCTGTCAATATTATAAATACCACCAGTATACTCATGCGCCCTCCCCCCCCCCTTGTCCTATCATTTCTCAGTATCTACCTCTGAGCTACCATATTATATGACTGTTTATTTCTCTCGCTCGGTTTCCTGTATTCACAGTCCCAGTCGGTGCATTTCAATTTTGAAGAAGAAGAGGGGGGGGGGGGAGAACTGAAGTAATCTTCTCCTTGCTCTTTTCAGTTCACTCACACTTTCCTCTTCTTAAACGGAATTTTATGCTCTCTTCTCTTTTGAAGTGGTTGTTTTCTCTTTCTTTTCTCGACCTCTTCTCTCCCCCTCCCCTCTCCCCCCCCCCCTTCGTTCTTTTCAGTTTTAACTACGACCACTTTCTTACCCGTTGTTCGGCGCTGGCCCTGCCAATGCTTAACGGTCAGGAGGATGTGTTTTTCACTTCTTGTCAATCTCCATCTCTCAATGACAATCTCTCTCTCTCCCTTTCCCTCAACTCTCTGCTTCTGTTTGACAGACCACGCAATCTTGAGTGGTATAAACATAGATGCATATTTATGATTCTGTGTGGCGCCTTTTTCCGTATTTCTAGGGTTTAAAACGGCTAAATCTCGACTTATCTATCACCTAGGAAGGGATGAGTGTGCGCCTGCACCTCTTCAATTTCGCTTTCCTACCACCCAGATTACTTTGAGGATCCGTTTGAGCAGTGCCATTTTCATTGCCAATTTGAATATTCTTTAATTGCAAAACCTGGCTTAATTAAAACCCAATTCAATAGACTCTAGAATTTAGAAGAGCAATTGATTATGCCTGTTGGGCTGAATCAAAATATCGAATTATGCTTTTTTCACTGCGAAATGTTAGTAAGTAGCTGATCCACTCTTCATGTGGAGTGCAATTTTTCGCAACTCTTCCTGTTGTTAAGTGTCTACTGAAATTATTTGAGTAAAGCAATGCTGATGTAATTGATAATCACACACATGCTCTACGACTCTTCCCACTTAGTAAAGGTGGATCCCAAAAAACCTTTCCTAAATAACCTTAGCATTTGGCATAATTGCCAGTAGATAAAATTTCGATCGAGGCAATGATTCAAACAAGTCACAGTTGATAGTTTACTCTTAATGTAAAAGAAGGGAGAAGTATTGTTGGTTCAAGCACTGAAATTAATCTTCAGTCGATTTTTCATTAATTAAAGACATATTATTACTAGCATTTCATCTTAGAAGACCCAGTGCATTTTTACAATATCGTCAAGACGAAAAAGGTCACAGCGATTATTAGGTCGACTGTCTTTTACCCTTTGTTGTGGATACTTTGCAGGTTTGAGAAATTTACGGAAATAGTTGACCTTTTTTCATTCGTTCATTCCCCACTTGAAGGATGAAACTCCAAGTCTCCTGAAAAAACCCTACAATCAATCGCTTTCCAACTAACAGCTGGATCAGCATGGTAAGTTAAAGGAGAAGCATGGGCCTCCATAAACCGAATCAAGCTATTTTCTAAGCTTATGATAAATTAATTTAAAAGCACTTGTTGAGACTATGACTTAATTCAATTTGGAGGTGGGGGGGTGGGGGGTGGAACAACGCAAACAAATATTTTGCAAGAAATTTCTGAGAGTTAGTAATAGCTATGCAAGGTGGTGAATTGAATTGTTTTTTTCTTTTTGATAAGGACGAAAACACGTGTCTCGAAATAGCCTGTGTGACGTGATCGAACACGAATAAAATCGCGAAATCGCTGCACCTGATTACCACAGTACAAAGTATGTCATAAATGGCAAGCAGCATCGGCTCAGTGCGTGAAGATCCCTTGATTCCAATTGTCATTGACGGCGGTTCAAGTGGATGTCGAGTTGGCTTTGCTGGTGAGGATACACCGAAGACAATAAATATATTTTCCACCAATTCCCCAATCAAACGGAGTCATATAATTGATTGGGAGTGTCTTGAAGCCCGTTGGTGGGAAGCATTGGTTCAGACTGGTTACCTTGAGAATCCCCTTCTATTTTCGGTGCCTCCATTGACTGTAAAATATGATCGCGAGAGAATTATTCAACAAGCCTTTGAATCATTTAACGCTCCTGCAGTTTACTTGGCAAATCAGGCTGTTCTTTCTCTCTACTCGATTGGAAAAACTACTGGACTTGTATTGGATGTAGGCCATGAGCTAACACATAGTGCTCCAGTACTTGATGGAAATTGTTTTGATCCAGCAGTGTTCAAGCTTGAACTAGGAGGATCGGACTTAACTAATTATTTTGAACAACTAATTGGAAGGTCATCTGATTGTGAGTTATTGAAGGAGAAAGTGTGTGAGGTTTCCTTGGTTTCATTAAAGTCACACAAATCTCCAAACGTGAATTTCATTCTTCCAGATGGACAAGAAGTGTCGGTGGGTATTGAAAGATTTCAATGTCCTGAAGCTCTGTTCAAACCCGGACTAATTCAACGTCCACCAAGTTGTTTGGCTGTTCATGAAGCGGTTTACCATTCAATACAACGCTTAGACCGCGATACTCGACGCGATATGTACTCCAACATCGTATTGGCCGGTGGTTCAACAATGTTCCGAAACTTTGAAGCTCGTCTGAATAGCGAACTTAAAATAATCGAGCAATCATCTTCAAAAATTTCCATAAGCACGGCTCCTGAAGGTGGTCGACTGTCGTCGTGGCTTGGGGGTTCAATTCTCGCGTCTCTTTCGACTTTTCATAAAATGTGGATCACAAAACAGGAGTACAACGAATTTGGACCGGTGATTGTACATAAAAAAGCCAACTAAATATAATTTTTTATTCTTTTGCTTATTTCACCTTTTTTCGGAATTAGGGCTTCATTTAGAGACTTATAATATGTTATAGAGAAGATGATTTGAACCTTTTTCTAGTGAGCATCCCTTTTATGTCTAATAAGTCACAAACATGCTAAAACATTGATTTTCAATAATTAATTATAATTCATTTGCTTTCGAAAGTGTTAATATTTTAGGGTCTTGTAAGTAGTGTTTTACTGGTAAAAATGTTAAGGTTAATCTAATTCACTTCAGTCAATACGAATTAGCCGGGTGTTTTAAATATGAGAGAATTAGTTGACACTGTTACTTATGGAAAATGGATGAGGTTGAAACTACCTTCTGCTCCAACCACCGCATTATTGGAAAGAGGTCATACTCATAGACAGACCATATCGATTACTAAAACTAGTGTCTACTCACTTAAATCTATGTGGGTGTTGGCTTAAACTTGGTGGTTAAATGTGAAGCTAAAAACACCGACTTAGCCAATGAGGCGTGTGTTATTTAATGGAATGCAAGCTCTTGGTTCTTTCAAGTCTTGAAAATAAATCATCGACTAATTGCTCATTGTTGCAGTATCAATTATCAATATAATCTAGTAAAATCCCTACACGTTTTTAATCCCCTTAAATACACAAAGCTGCCTTGTATTCTGTTCTGAAATAGGGGGGGGGGGGGGGGGAGGATCATAAAGCCATTTCCCTGGTGTAGACTTGTTTCTTGACTTCGGAAAGACGGCTAACTATAGTAATGTTAGAACTTATCTTGACTGATTGGGGTGTGCGATAGACTTACCTCCACGCGGTGCACCCTGGGCAGCGTATACTCATACGGCAAAAAGTCTATTATTCGGCAGTTGACTTTTGATTTCACACTACCATCACCTCACTCTATGCCATATACGACTATATCCACAGTACTCACCTCACCTTTTTCTACCTTTGTGTTTGTTTCTTACATCTTTGAAACACACCTCTGTTCACCCCCCCCCCTCTTGACTTGTTTCTATTTGATGTACCTTCCCCTCTGTGAAGCCTGAAGTCAACTGAAGGGCTAATGATAACCATCAAGACGCCTGCCATTTGATATAAATAAATAAATCTTGACTGATTAATTTTTTCCCGAGTTGAGGTTAAAGGCTCAGGAGTGTAGCAGGTTAAGTTAAACGAAAGTATAAATAGGAAAAAGAAGACAGAGGAATGAGTAGAGATGTGCAAACAAGGGGGGGGGGAGAGCTTCGAATGGAGAAGGTAGAAAGGGAACAAGGGGGAGATGGGCTTGCATTTCGGGGAAAGAATACGCAACTAAGTCATTTAACCTCATTCATAATGGCAGGGAAGAGGAATTGAGAGGACAACTTACCTCTTACGTCCAATAACACGCCAGTTGTTAAGTGTGTTGCATCAGCTGAATAAATGGTAATTTACTCTTCTCTTTGACGGTAATCTCTCTTACCTACTCTCATTAGCCTGTTGGAGCATGAGCATAGATTGCATCGGTAATTGTACCCGCCATAATTGCAGTCGAGTGTGTGCCTATCGTAAGACTATTGAGTCTAGCTGAACTTAAACGCCCTTCTCACGTCTTGCGATCACGTAACAAGGTGGTGGGGAGGAGAATGGTACTGTTGAGCAGAAGTTATAGAGGGAAAGACCATATGCAAAGGGGTGGGGGGGGGGTGGTTAGATGGGGATAGGGAATGTGTTTTAGAAGGCAGTTTCGATTAATTCATTTACCAACAAATTGCTGAAAAGTCAAAATTATCTTACATGTTATTCAGCTTTCACGTTTGGTACATTGGCAATAGTAAAACCGAATTTAAAATCATTGCACAACGCTCAAACTTAATGATGAGCTCGTGTGAATATAATCAAATTAGGTTGAAAATAAAATCATAATTTTAAATAATTAACAATTTATACAATCAATTATTAAAAAAGGAAAAACCTGTCCACTATAGATTGGCTGAACAAATTGATGTCGTTACCTACTCAGAGAGTCTCAAAGGCACGGGAACCACCAATAAATAGTTGCTGCATTGTTTAACATTCACTTAATCACTATTTAATGACTAAGCTCTGAGTCAGACACACACAGGCACTGTTTCCCCTACATTGTTGAGGGAATTTTGCCAAAGACATCACTGAGTCAAAGTCAAGGTCCATTCATGTAGTATTCCGCCTCAAGATAAGTCATTTTAGGTTGGAAGAGTAAAACGATCGTTAAAAGATTATCTTAAAGTAGTAATAATTCAAATTCGATAAACTTGAGTTTTCACCGATGCCAAGGTTAGCTAATGCCAGCCCAAGAATTTACTTTTTTCCAGCTCATTTTAAAACTCTCGGCGCGAGCAGCACATTTGGCCCATGTTGTACAGAACAAATAATGTTTTACCCGTTAATGCTCTGGAGTAGCTTTCAACAGCAGTTTGCCCTCTACCACCACTTACGCATTTGGCAAATTTACCGCTATTCAATGCCAGTTGATTTCCATAATTCAAAATTCTATCCCCTAACAGCAAGCTAAGTACCTCTCGTGTCTTCGGAAAATACTAACAAAAGCCCAAGAAATGGATGCCTGTTCAGAGGAAACTGACGTGAAACTGCAAAGCAGGCTTATAACGCTACAATGGATTGGAAAAAATCCAGTCACGTGTAGTAGGTGTAGGGTAAGTGCAACGCTGAATTGACAATTTGAGATTCACCGACACCTGCCTTTCCAACGCTAGTTTCTCGTTCAAGACAACAGAATCTCTTGGTCGGTATGGGAAATCGATACAATTATGTTGATGAAGAGGTTCTGACGAAGAGAGGTATTTAAGTCTTAACGCCAACCAAATGAACATGATATCGTTAATAACTGGAATGATATTGAAGAGAGAGGTGTGCGATAGACTTACCTCCACGTGGTGCACCCTGGGCAACGTATGCTCATACGTCAAACAAGTCTATGAACTGGCAGTTGACTTCTGACTCCAAGCTACTATCACCCCACTGTATGTCATATTCGACTACTTCTACAGTACTCACCCCACCTTTTCTCTGCCTTTGTGTCTGTCTCTTTTACACCTGTAAATCACTCTTCTGTTCCCCACCCCCCACCCCGACTTCCTGTTACTTTGAAGTTCCTTCCCCTTGTGAAGCCCGAAGTCAACTAGAGGGTTAATGATAACCATCAAAACGCCTGCCATTTGAAATTAATAACTGGAATGATATTGAAAAGATCTGCCATCGTAGATTCTATAACCTAATCCGTGCTATCACTGAAGGGCGCTTAGTTCTGCATACTGGCGTTCGCTTTAACCCCAAGAGCAACTGTGGGAAGATAACTTTTATTATGTTTGAAATATTCAAAGTCATTAATATTTATCTGGCAGTCCAGGATACTCTACCTCTCCACAGCAATAACAACGAAGATTGAGGCTATAGTTCCTCCGATGCGTCTGTACTCAGTTCAAATTGGCAGACACATCTAAACTTCCCTTTCTGCCTTCCACTATGATGAATTTATTTATTTATTTCAAATGGCAGGCGTTATGATAGGTATCATTAACCCTTTAGTTGACTTCAGGCTTCACAGAAAGGAAGATAAACAGTAAAGTGGCAAAACGTCGAGAGGGGGACAGAATAATGATTCACAGACGTAAAAGAGACAGACAGACACAAAGGTAGAAAAAGGTGAGTACTGTGAAATTATTCGAATATGAAATGCAGTGGGGTCTTGGTAGTTTGAAGTCAGAAGTCAACTGCCGAATAATAGACTTTTTTGCCGTATGAGTATACGTTGCCCAGGGTGCACCACGTGGAGGTAAGTCTATCGCACACCCCACTATGATGAATTTAGCTCTAGAATTACTCACAAGAAGTGTGTAGAAAAAAGTATCGTCTCTTTCATTTCTTTTTCCTTATATTATGGTATTTTGTTTGAATGTTATATTAACCCCACTCGCCCACCCCCCACCTCCTCCTTAGTCCCGTCTTCTACCTCTTTCAAATATAATCTAATAATTCATTATTAACGTAGTTCTAGCTTATTTTAAGTTGATAATTTCATGGATACAATCTTCACTGTATATTTACATTGACCCTTTATTGGCATGTATCGGTGTAAGAGATTGTGATCGCTTCGAAATTTTCGTCAATAACACAAATTCCTAAGGCGAAATTTTTATGCGTCTCACGCCTGAAGGTTAGTCTCTCTCTTTTTGGTAACTACTCACTACCATATAAGGCAGTGTATGAAGTCTTGGCGCAGTTTAGCACCTCAACGTGTGCCATGCTTGGCAATATTGCCAAAAAAGGCTACATTTGTCAACGTGCGCATATGTTCTTGAATTTATTGCAACCCGATCTATTTTGGAGCAATTTTGAAGGAATTGAAATCTGCTAACAACAATTTCAATAAATAATAGAGGGGAAGGTAAGGGAATCGAGTGAATATTAAGACTAAAGTTGGGCATTAAAGGACCTTATTTTATTTGACTTTTGCCAGCTATTCGAAAGCTACTGAGTCCACGTTAAAGTAGATATTTTCATTTCGGTTACAACAAACATGCTAAAGAGGAAGCCTATTCTTTTCCCAAATGAGCACCATCATATAATTACCATAAGGTGCGAAGCTTCTCAACGAAATGCAAAAAAGTGTTTAAGCTTGGATATGAGTTCGAAAATTAAATATTGCAAGCAAAAGGTGCAAATGATTGCCAATAGAAATGCATTGCAGATCTCCACTCCAATGTGCAAGAATTTGAAAACTGTGCTTCTTATTATCTAATTCATATACTCGTCAAGACGTTGAAATAAATAAATAAACAAATAGTCCTTTTAAATTAATGGATTTGTTTTATTACTTAATAGATAAGTTTTGTAGCAAGATTCAAATTTTCCGTTTTCTGCCTGAAGTACCGAGTACATTTTCGCTCAAGATATCCGATGTTTTTTAAAGCCCCGCTAAATTTTTATGTGATCCGACTTTCCTATTCAAATGCTGAGATTGGGAGTTGTGAACGCTCATGGTCTTTGGCAGAACTGATATTGGATGTGCGATAGACTTACCTCCACGTGGTGCACCCTGGGCACGTTTACTCATACGGCAAACAGAGTCTGTTAACCGGCATCTGACTTCTGACTTCAAACTACCAAGACCCCCCTGGTTGTCATATTCAACTTCTTCTACAGTACTCACCTCACCTTTTTCTACCTTTGTGTCAGTCTCTCTTTTACATCTTTGAAACTCTCTTCTGTTGCCCCCCCCCTGATCCTTCGACTTTCTTTCACTTTGATGTTCCTTCCCCTCTGTGAAGCCTGAAGTCAACTAGAAGCCTAATGATAATCATCAAAACGCCTGTCATTTGATATAAAAAAATAGCATAACTTATATAGATATTATTTAAAGGATATTTTAAACTAAATTTCAGTTTGTGTTTTATTGAATTGCAAAACTTGAAGGCTTTAAAATTTCGCCTTAAAATAGACGATAGGTATAGATATATAGATTGAAAATTTAAGTCCTGATTATTTATTGTTATAACTCGTTATATTTTTAACTAAAATTTATGGTCCTCAAAAAATTGTTTTCTAATTTCAAGGTAAGCCGGTGTAATAGTTAATTTATCGTAATCATTTTCATCATATCCACAACCTTATAATTTATATTTAGAGACTGCCGTTTGTGTTGTTTAAATCGTCATTACTTGAACGGACACCTGTAACGCCCTATCTCCTTTAGTGATTCTCCTATCAAACTCTCTAGGCTATCAATCAACACCTTTAGTATTTGCGAATAATGCTGGGCAACCGTTCCAATTTCCGGTTGTGCGGAAAATGACCTTCTAAGCTCACAAATTATAATTTTATGTTCAGAGTTAGGTATAACAGCCGAAAAAATTCAAAATCGAATGGATTTGATTATTATCTTAACAATACAGCCTGATTACGAACATCTCGTTGTCAAAGGCTATATGAAGGCAGAAACTCTGATAGTTTGCCAACAATCAGTCACAATTTAAATGCAAACTACTTAAATGGCTAGATTTTGGAAGATGTCACACCTTTTAATTATGGATACTCAATAGTCATGTTTGAAAAGCTCTGAGTAATTGTACTTGTTAAATTTTCTTTTATTTTCTTGGATCAGAATGTTAAGGAGGAGTTTAAATTACTGAACCTATAGATTTCATTTGTTTCCACATCTATGATTGCCTTACTTAATTACACTGATAGAATAAAATAGACATTGTTTGATTAATTATATTTAGGAACGATATTTATCTTTCACTTTATAATATGTAAGTTAATATCAAATATTGAATTATATAACGACTGATCTTAATTATGCCTTAGGTAAATTTTAAAACAGCTCAACTGTCCGTCATAAAGCTACACATTAATCAGACTCAGGGAATAGGAGGAAGACTTCAAGGTCAAACGACGATCTTTCTATCAAACTAGTAAATTTACTTACGGGAATTGGAAACGCCTTAAATGATTGGCTGTCTGATTAGCCAATAATTGCAGTTGTAAGCGTGGAAATCATATAATCGATAATAAGAATGAAGGTTACGCATTGCATTTGAGTGCACCGAAAAATGTATGAATAGACATCCTAACATTATTACTTTAAAATGCTATAATTGCCTCATCATGCCACTAAGCTAACAATGGTATACAAATTAGCAAAATAATAGAAATTTAGTTTAAGACTATACTATGGAAGAGAAGTTGATAGTGCGCGCATTATGTAGCAGTTTCTTGACAAAGGGAAAGTCAAAACTTGTCCAAGAAACTTCAAATAAATATAGAAAATCTAGGTTACAATAAAGTGTTCATGGACTTTATGTGAAGAGAAAAATCTGGCAAAATTTCTCCTCTCTCAACACGCCATGTATGACGTATGTTCCTGTCCGTGCTACATAACTGGCAGATTTTGGGAAATAATTTGCACAGTCGCCTAATTTGCCTAACTTATTTCCTGTTTGATTGTGTTAAGTTAAATAAAAGTACAATTTTAACAAGTGATTAATAAATTTACATACTTATTACGGCAATACATACTTGGGCAAGAGAAAAGCTAGAGAGGTCTGCACGGATCCAATAGCGATTAAAGTCACATTTCCCTTAAAATTTTTTTTGAAAATGTTCGGTTTGAAGCCTAGATTTTAAGATAAGTTGGAAAAGTTTGCAATTTGTTAAGACAGGATATCTGTATGCATTTATTCCGCCCCCCTTCTCCCATTTAACAATGACAAACAATTGAGAGTAGTGGACATCCATAGGAAGCATGTACCCAGATTAATCAAATGTCAATGACTTTCAGTGACATTGCCAACTTCGAAGTTAGAGAGCAATTAGTAAGAAGAGCAAGAAAAATCTAATATTCAATTGATTGTCTGATAAATAAAACACATAACTTTCAGAAAGAAGTTATTGGCCAAGACCAACTAATGACCTAGACTGTCATTTATCAATCAGACTTCAGAGCATATTTTAACACTTGTCACTATCCTCCTCATTGTGAAAAAGTCAGTCTGAATCGATCGCCAGATACGACTAGCGCGGGAGAGATCATTTCTATTTCGGTTAATTCATTACTTCAAACGGAGCAAATTTTATCAGAGATAATTAATTAACTCGGGAATTAAGACCAGGACAACCTTTCAGCTCTGATTATTTCGACATCTCACATAGGAGTTGGCATTCATTCACGGATTACATTTAGACTAATTCATGGCTAACAGGGAAATCACTTTTAACCTTGAGTAATTCCTTTCTGTATATCTCTCAAAATGCTTTCCGCCTTTTTCTCTCATGGTGGTGGAAGGTACAACCTTCAGACAGAATTCTTCAGCCTTCTTGGAGTCATTCGTTTGGTTGGCTAGATTTACTCGTTTTAACTAAAGGCGGATCGACATACGTGAACAAACATACATTTGCAATTCTCTTTCTCTCTTCACATTCTGGTAAGCAGGGCTCTAGCCCCACACAACACCTCTTCGTACAGGTCTGAAACTTGCATCATCACACAGCAAAAGTTTCGGGTTAATGATTTGACCCCCTCCTCAAACTACGCAAATCGACGACTCAAGCTACTTCCTCAATTTTGCATACCCGTACTTTTGACCTCGCTTCGATGCGGTTCAGGACACATCTTAGCAACTAGTGAATTGGATTCTGTGGAATTGCGCAGCAATTATTACTTAAATTAGCCCCCTGAAGAGTGATCATTTCATTTTGATTCTGAGCCTACAAGATGACGGACGAAGATACCGCAGCTCTTGTCATAGATAATGGTTCGGGAATGTGCAAAGCCGGTTTTGCTGGAGACGATGCGCCCCGTGCTGTCTTCCCTTCCATTGTTGGTCGTCCAAGACATCAAGTAAGTTAATAACCAGTTTTGTAATTGGTAATTGTAAATCAACTGAAGTGGGTTAACTGTAGAGGAGGAGAGTGAATAGATGTCAAGAAATCGAGTCTCACTTTACTTGAACTTCTGGATTCAAATGGTAAAATACTTAATTGATAAGTCGTTTTCGTTTCAAAATTAAAAATTCTCAATTCTTTCCATAACACTCCCTGTTTCACGACCAGATGTCTAATTATGATATTTGTCCTGTCACATTAATTCAACATGTAAAAGGATGTTATCGGTTCGCATGACTTTGATATAACAAGGTTAAAAGGCCACTATTCATCGCATTCCCGAATCCGCAGTTTACAAGTTCTGGCAACAAGAGATCTGTTTGCTAATTGGGCTGATAATTTGAATAATTTCAGGGGAGAAACCTTAGCACTTTTCTGTCAATTGGCTTAAGGTTGTCTCGTTTGCCATCATTGTAAATAAAGTTATTTCCAGTGAGGTATCATAAGTGACCGAATAAGGATAGCTTCATAACAAATTATAAAGCCTGACAGTGGCAACAATCTGATGCAATGCTTTTATTTAATTATTGAAAAACAACTTTAAAATATCTCCAAGTAAGCTTTAAAGCTAGAAAGATGTTAAATAATTGAGTTAGTTGATAAATAGGAAAAAATGGGGATGAAGAAATGAATATCAGCTAACCATTGGCGAACATTTTTCTAGATTGCAATAAATGTTTAAAACTTTAAGACAATCTTACGAATACAATAATGAAATTTGAATGAATGAATGGTTAACTAAGAAAGCGTTATTTTAACTCGAAAATCGTAATTCAATTTAGTTATTTTCTTTTTATATATTACTTAAATGTAAGTAATAAAGTGAATGCTAATATTTAATTTTAATTTAGGGTGTAATGGTTGGTATGGGTCAAAAAGATAGCTACGTTGGTGATGAAGCGCAGTCGAAGAGGGGTATTTTAACTCTCAAGTACCCTATTGAGCACGGTATTGTAACAAACTGGGACGATATGGAAAAGATCTGGCATCACACCTTCTACAATGAACTTCGAGTAGCGCCAGAGGAGCATCCGGTTCTCCTTACCGAGGCTCCGCTCAATCCGAAGGCTAATCGCGAAAAGATGACTCAAATAATGTTTGAGACTTTCAACTGTCCAGCTATGTACGTTGCTATTCAAGCAGTACTTTCTCTTTACGCTTCTGGAAGAACTACCGGAGTGGTTTTGGATTCAGGAGATGGAGTCACTCACACTGTACCCATTTATGAAGGCTACGCTCTACCACACGCCATTTTACGCCTAGATTTGGCAGGTCGTGACCTCACTGACCACCTTGTTAAGATAATGACCGAACGCGGCTACAATTTTACCACTACAGCTGAACGTGAAATAGCTCGCGATATTAAAGAAAAGCTTTGCTATGTAGCCCTCGACTTTGAACAAGAAATGATGACGTCAACGTCAAGCGCCATTCTAGAACGTTCTTATGAACTTCCGGACGGTCAGTTGATCACTATTGGTAACGAGAGATTCCGTTGTCCTGAAGCTCTTTTCCAACCGGGATTTTTGGGTCTTGAGGCGGCCGGTATACACGAGACCACATATAATTCAATAATGAAGTGCGATGTCGATATTCGAAAGGACCTTTACTCGAATACGGTGCTCTCTGGTGGTTCGACAATGTTCCAAGGCATTGCAGAAAGAATGCAACGTGAAATCTCTGCCTTGGCACCAACAACCGTGAAAATTAGAATCGCTGCACCACCTGAACGCAAGTACTCTGTTTGGATTGGAGGGTCAATTTTAGCTTCACTCTCCACATTCCAACAAATGTGGATTTCTAAGTTGGAGTATGAGGAAATTGGACCCAGCATTGTCCACCGCAAATGCTTTTAATGTCATTAGACCCTTATTAACTTCGCTTTTAATTACTGTTATAATTGTCAGTAAATATACTGAATCAGATCGTCTTTTTGACTACCTCGGAGTACATTTGCAGTTTATGAGATATTAGACAATTAATCGACGCTGTTAATAACGCTAAGGATATTCAATTTATCCAGTTGGCGACAAGGTCATCTTAATTAGAATAGTTGAAAGCAATGACATTCAATTGAGCTTTGTTCAATGATCTATGTTCTAAAATTGCATTCAATTTGCTTTTTTCGTTACGTTTGGTTAGCTAACAGGCAACCAAAATGAATGAAAAGCTGGTTAGGGTATGGTTCAAATAGTTTTAATGAAAAGAGAGTAATAAATGGCTTGCTTTATTCGAAACCTAGAACCGTTGGACGGTTTAATTTATCATAAGTATTACAATTAAATTTATCAAATCTTTCCTATTTAGGATTAAACTCTTTGGCAACTGGATGAGTATATATACACCCACTGCGACTCGCTTTGATGAGAAACTTTATTTAAGTAATTCTATTGCTTGCTTAGAGATGGTTCACCAATTAATTATTAGTAATGTGTTTCTAGTTATGCTGGCTGCTAGTTAACGTAACCAATAAGAGTTAAATCGTTTTGTTTGAAATAGCGTCGTTTACTTATCGAAATTAGGCGCTGGTTCTGTAATTTATTTAGCAACGAAATTAAAGCCATAACAAATGTAGATAAGTTTTGCACGCTCAAATTAAAATAGGAATTGACCTAAGTTTTCTAGCCAGACAGGTAAATCAATAATTAAATTAACGGCAAAGACAACAGCAATAATTGTAGTTTAGTTGGTTACTTGGCCGGGAATAACTGCAATTTTTAGCCATCAATTCATTAGGTTTCTATTGCCACTGAAGTTAAATTGACCTATGCAATTTTCACTCATAAAGTTTCTGTATAACATTCAAGAGCTTTACTCAACTGTAATGGGACTTGGCATTCAAGAATCTAAGTTTCGGGATTTATCTCAAGAGTAACTGACTTTGGAAAGTCTGATTGATCAGGATTTATCCACAAATAAGTTGGGCTGAGCGGTTTGTCATGCCCTTCTTCAAATGGGTGAAAGTTAATTAACATCCTTATTTGGACCTTATCGACGATAAGCTCCAGATTGCTGGTTTACAGACGCACTCCTCTACGCCCATTTACTTAAAGTTAATGAATTATAAACGCCCCCTAACAAATCAAATGCTCGCATTTTTGAAATTATGAGTCTTGTTGTCTGGTCTTCTCACTAACGTTTCATTCAGCGGAGAAATTTATTCATAGTACTTTAGATTTCACTGAAAGGACAACCGCATAAAACTTCTCAATCCTATTGTCTGTCATTTGGACTCAGTCTTCAAGACCAGAGTTCATGAGTTCAGTATCGCCGGTTCATACCTATATATCATTAGTCTTAGAGTTGATTTCGGGCTTCTCGGAAGGGAGGAACATCAAAGTCTTACAAAGCCGATAAGGGGAACAGAGGACTGATTCTCAGATGAAAGAGAGAGACAGACGTTAAGGTAGAGGAAAAGGTAGGGCGATTACTGTGGAGGTTTTGGAATGTGGCATACAGTGGGGTCATGGTAGTTTGAAGTCAAAAATGAACTGCCGGATAATTGACTTTTTTGCCGTATGAGTATGCGTTGCTCAGGGTGCAC